TCTTTTGAACAGATTGAGCTTTGATGGAATCTTGTCATGCAATAATAACCACGCAAACCCACAAACTTTGTTAGGAATGTGACTGTTCCATAACCTTATAAATAATGATTCTTGTGATGAAGGTTGTTGATGGACAAGTTTGTTGTATCCTAATTTTGTTGTGTATAATCCCTTCTTCTCCGCCTTCCAGATCCAAGTATCCTTCTTGTCTTTTGGGAATTCAATCATATCGATCCATTGCTTTAAATCCTGTAGTGATTCGGTCTCCCAGGAAAACAAGCTTTGCCTCCATTCAAAGTTCCACGACCATGTTTCACCTTCCCAGCTACCCAGTTCCTGTATAGAGCTTTCCTTTCCTGTAGATAGCATGTATAATCTTGGGAAAGCATTAGCAAGCACTCCTGCATTGCTCCAACTATCCTTCCAAAGGCTAACACTATTTCCTTTGCCAACCTTAAGCTCATAACCATCCAATAACCACCCTCTTCTGTTATCTTCCAAAACATCCAACCTACATATATCCCTCCATCATCTAGACCCACTAGCTTTACCTTCCCTCACCCACCCACACCAATTATCTTTTCTAGACCCATATTTTTCTTTAATTAGCCTAAACCATAAGTTCTCCTTTCGTAAGACCACCAAGTTAAAAAGCCTAATGTCCTTCGCTCCTATACCTCCTTCTTGTTTGCTTCTACACACTAGTTTCCAATTTACCTAGTGTATTTTCCTAGTCTCCCCCCACCCTCCCCATAAAAAATTACTTCTAATTCTATCAATAGTTTTCACAATACCTTTTGGAGCGAGGTAGACTGATAGGAGAAAAGCAGGGAGTGATGTGAGCACAGAGTTGAGAAGTGTGATCCTGCCATCAAACGACAACCACCTATTTTTCCAACCTGACAATTTCTTCTTTATTGAGTCAATTAAAGGCTGCCACATTCTTAAACCCTTTTGGTTTCCACCTACAGGCACTCCTAAGTATTTGAAGGGCATTTCACCAACTCCACAATTTAAAGACCAAGCCATTTTCTGTAGCCATTCCATATTTGTATGAATACCAAGTAGTTGGCTTTTATGGTAATTGATTTTCAACCCAGATGTGAGCTCAAAAGCCTGCATTATGCATTTTACAGCCCATATGTTTTCTTCTCGAGCTTCCCCAAAGATAATTGTATCATCCGCAAATTATATATGGGAGAATTGGATTCCATTATTGCCCACTTTCACTCCAATAAATAACCCTTGCTCCACTGCTGACTTGATAATTCCATTCAATCCCTCAGCCACAATTAGGAATAAGAATGGGGACAAGGGATCACCTTGTTTTAGCCCCCTCGAAACTCCAAATTTTCTTGTCGGACTCCCATTCACCAGTACTGACAACAAACTGGTTTGAAGGCATTCCATGATCCATTTTCTCCATATCTCACTAAATCCCATTCTCATCATCATATAATTCAGAAAATTCCAGTTAACCTTGTCATAGGCTTTCTCAAAATCCACCTTGAAAAAGAAACTCTTCATCTTCTTTTTCCTGGCTTCATCAATAACTTCATTTGCTACTACCACTCCTTCGCATAATTGCCTACCTTCTATGAAAGCCATTTGGTTCTCCCCAATGGTGTCTCCCATTACTGTGCGTAGTCTAGTGGCTAGTAATTTTGCAATGATTTTGTACAAAGCTCCAATGAGTGAAATTGGCCTATATTCTTCTATCTTCTGTGGATTTAACACCTTTGGGATTAAAGTTATAAAGGATACATTTAAGCCTTTCACTAACCTGCCTTTTTAAGAGAGGTATCATTAAAGATACAAGCAAGCTTATTTGTTGTCTTTGTGCTGAACATCTAGAAGACAGCACTCATCTGTTTCTCACATCCAAGATAACCACCCAAATCTGGTCCAAGTGCTAAAAGTGGTGGGAAATACAAACTGCTGCTGCTAGGAACTGTTGGGATGCTTTTATTTATCATGAAGGAACTTACAATTTGTAAAAGTGCTAAAAGTGAATCCAACCTTAAAGTTGTAACTTAAAATTTTGGAAATAAAATAGTTTGAGACAAAAAATAAGACACACGTTGATTTTTTTTTTTTTAATAAACCTAGATTAATCAGCTATATATTTAAATTACAAATGTTTGAATTCCTAAAATTGATCCCAAATCAATATTGTAGAATGCACCAATTGTATAATCCACTTGTTGATAAGAAATGTAATTAAAGAGAGAGCGAACGACTGAAACTGGATATGCATAATTGAGAAATTCTTTTTCAATTTTTTTAATGGGTGAGGCATGATAAAGTGGTAGGTTTAGATCGTGGTGCGCAGCGAAGGACTTTCCTTGGAAGTTGTTAGGTGGGAGTTCTTAACACGAATATGGTTAAAAAACGTGACAATCTTTTTGGTACGTACTGCCTCTGTCTAAGCCTTATATTTTTATATATAATTCTTCAATTATATGCCTCATTCGCCTCTATGTATAACCCAACTCACTACCATCCACTATGAAAGTCTCTACTTACAAACTCTTAGCTGGCTTCCTATTCGTTTTCTTTTTCTACCACTGCCAAGCCTGTCCACGTTACAAGTTTGTTGTAAGTACATATTTTTTTTTTTAACAACAATTGTAAGTACATATTTCGATTTTTTTAATAGAAAACAACGATATGCCATTGTCTTTATCATAAATTGTTTCTGTAGGTGAAAGAAGCTCCATATACGAGACTATGCAGCTCGAAGAACATACTTACCGTAAATGGCCAATTTCCGGGTCCTACTTTATATGTTAATAAAGGAGACACCATCGTTGTTGATGTTTACAACAGAGGAAACTATAACATCACCATTCATTGGTATTAATTATCTCAAACCATTTCATCACCACTTAAATATTGTAGAACTGGAAGAAGGTTAGATTAATATTACTCATAATATTAATTGGTAGCATATTTCGGCAGGCATGGTGTGAAACAGCCAAGAAATCCATGGTCTGATGGTCCAGAATACATCACTCAGTGTCCTATTCAACCAGGAGCAAAATTTAGGCAGAAGATCATTTTTACTACCGAAGAAGGAACTTTGTGGTGGCATGCTCATAGCACATGGTTGCGAGCAACTGTCCATGGTGCTCTGATTATTTATCCCAAGATGGGAACAAGATATCCTTTTCCGAAACCCGATGTAGAAATTCCCATCATATTAGGTAATTAAAAAAATAATTATAAATTTAAAATAATTTCATTGATTAAATAAAGATTTGGAATGTTTGGGATTACTGAAAATGCAGGAGAGTGGTGGCAAGAAGATATAATGCAGGTATATCTAGATCTTGAACGCTACGGCGGCCTAGGAGTCACTTCCGACGCCTACCTCATCAACGGCCAGCCTGGTGATCTTTATCCCTGCTCTAAACCAGGTGAAACTCTTTACTTTTTAGTTCGACATCAATGTCTTCAAAATAAAATAAAATAATGATGCTACCATATTAACAAATGCATATAATAAAATACCAAAAAAAAAAAATAGTGAATAACATCAGAAACTATTGGTCCTAATTTAAGGTAGTTGAAATTTTGTTTCTAACAATATACGTGAAATGGTTAAAAAAAAAAAAGATGTGTGAAAATTCAGATTAAAATAATTAATACACTCTTCCATTTAACATACCTTATACATTTACCAATTTAGTAATTAAAATATATAATTTTTAGTTTTCT